ACCATGTCAGCTAGACCATGGCACCAAGTGTCTTTTCTTAAACACCTCCAGGGATGGGGACACCACCACCTCCCTGGGCAGCCCATTCCAATGCCTAAGCTCTACACCTTCGCACCACCCAGTATCTTTTTACTGCTCGGAAAATGCTGCCTTTCAGCAGTGCTCTTCCTTTCAGTATCACAGGTTTTCTCAAATCATGTGCCATTTATAGCTTCTCAATCCTTCCTTCAAAGGAAAACTCAAAAAACTCTTCTGCTGTCCATAACTCCCGGGCGAGGTTTGCTACACTCCTATGCTTTGTCCATTCATTACTGATAACACATGCCTAATTCCTGCCCACAGCGAGACCCCTTCTATCGCACTGTCAATGTAAAGCTGTCTTACAACCGATGTGTACTATGCTGCAGCTTAAGTGATTTCTTACACTGACAGGATAGGGTGAAAGGACATTAACCTGAAGGAAAACCTGGCTCTAGTTTCTTCTCTTGGGTCCTCCAAGACAGATTAAGGATGTTTTCGCACCCCCTTTCCTCTCTTGCTACATGCTTTGCTTATGGGCATTTCGTCTTATAAAACAAAAACCTAAGCAGTTAGGAGGACCACCACTTTCTTTGTACAGATTTCTCTTCTTCCTTAGTATGTGTAGCCCCCAAGGGTTTTAACTCCTCCCTGGCTGGTTTCAGAAGGGGGATTCTCCTCTACCCATCCTCTATAATCCAATTTTTCACATAGCAGGTACTGTCTCGAGATCCAAAGGGACGACACTTTGCTGTGAAACATCTTACAAAGCCACATCTTCAGTATGTTACAGATAAGAAAATGGTATCATTCAACAGAGTAAGGAGAATGCAATGCTATTTCTTCGGAGACAAAATGTGAGTCAAAAAATGATGGAAGCTTACTTATAGAGTGGCTCTGTCTTTGTTCCAGCGGCATAAGATCATATAAAGAACACAAATATGCCCACTAAACAGCTGAAGCAAGTTACTTCCTACCTACTGGGTTTTCCAGCCTTAAAACAGTCTTATTCTTGTCCACTTCAAATTTGGGCACTTCAGGTTTTCTTGTAAGGATGCATTTTATTGCTCTAGGTGATTTTAATTCACTTGGGCAAAGTATTTTGTTAGTCAGTCCTTCTCAGTAAGAGTCTGATGCATTCACTAGAAAGTCAGGCCTCTGGATGTTTGTTTTTGGCAAGGGATTGCCAACTGGTTTCAGACTGCCAAATCATCTAGTAATGGCTTTTCTTGTCCCAAATTGTGACCTTCCTCTGTCTCAAACAGGTGAGGCACAAATCAACCCTCCCAGCAAGAACTCTTGGGGATCCCCTGGTTTTGGTGGAAGGAGATTGCCTGACCCACGTTGCCGTTCGCTTTGAGGAGAAGACATTGCCAGAGCTGCTGAGCAGCAGAAAATGAGGTGGAACATTTACCCTCACTATTAGAAATATTTGATATACAGTCCCGAGAGAGAGAAATGATGACCATGTATGCCTACAAAACTCTCTGTGCCCTGAATGAAGAGCAGGTGGTATTACCATACAGATTAAATGGAAGTGGGTGATAAAGACTGAAGACCGATATATACCCATCACAGCGTGCAGATACTATATTCACAGCCAAAGAATCAATTTCAGTTGAATTTATCCATGTTAATTCCTATGTGGGAATTTAAAAATTCACGTGATGACACTTTCAGCTAACATGTATGGACATATCTAACAGGTTTGCTTCTAAAGAGTGCTGAAATGGCCCAGTATCTGTGATCTGTATTCCAACTGATACTACTTGTATTAAGTTTCTTAAGGTCTATACTTCTCATATTTAGACACTATTAGATATTTCTATCACATGGCAATTGAATAATCTTAGTCTGATGATTTCCATAGAAAGTTAAATAACTAATTCAATCTTGTAATATCAGCTAATTATAAAATATATTCTATATCTGTCTTTCTGTATAAAAATTGTTGACAAAAATAGGGTTTTATTTGCATATTAATTAACGTACAGGTGGTTTAACTGTTTTCTATCCACTGTTATTTCTGTATCTGCTGAGAACTGCTCCCTCATGAAGCTGAAAGGCCAGGTTCTAACTTTGCATCTTTACCTTAAACTGCAGGAAACACCTTTTTTAAACTTCTGTGTTTTCTTCCAGGAATTGGCTGATTTTGGTTCTGCGTAGCACCGTGAGAGTCCTGCTCTGCAGGCACCCAAGGATGGCTGAATTTACGGAAGCTCTCTCCATCCCAACCACCAAGAACTTTCCTTCTACCCTTGATTTGTACAGTCCTACCACCACCAGAATGGAAACAACCAGTTCTCTCTCAGTCTGTCCTGATGGCCATGGTAGCCTGAGAATGCATACCAAATCCAGGAGCAACTACCTAAAGCAACGTATCGGTAGATACTAATATCTATTCAACTACCTATTTGTGTGCAAACTATGCTGTAAACAATATATATTTGGCAATTTTTCCTTAAATCCTTAAATGCTTTTACTTTTATCAACGGTATTTTGACACACCATGGAGTTTGTCACAAGCATTTGCATTGCCAATAATCACTTCTGTATGCACTGATGTCCATTGGCTTCTTAATCATGAACCAATACTGGATTTAGACCCACACTGGATGTCCAAGATGCCCAGTCACACTAATTTGTGGAAGAGCAGTTGCTCAGAATTTTAACAGGCTGTGAACCTGCTATGGTTAAGTCACAGAAAAGAAAATGAAAAGAAAAAGAAAACCATGCAGGCAAACTAGGCAATAGTGTTAAGGTCTGTTTTGGATGTGTACGTGGGAAGGGTGGATATGGTCATCCATATTTTCCACCATAATGACAGCTGTTAAATGAATGAAAGAAGTAAAGCCTGAAAGGGGAAAAAAAAAAAAAAGGAAAAAAAGAAAACGTTTCTCAAATTGTAAGTTCAATGCTCAGAAAAGTTGAGAGGCTGCTGTGTATAAATGTCTGAGAGTTCTGCTTAAAGAGGCTTAAAGGTTCAAACTTTCTGAATGCTTCTTACTTTGCTTCTGCTGTAACCGTACTGCTGTTCCTCTTCACTTAAAACTGCATTTAGGCCCAATTTACTTATTCAAAAATGTTATCACTCACTGCCATCTAGTGTTAATGCTACAGACTGTCGGGAATTTAAAATTACTTTTCTGGCTTTAAGAATTAAAAAAACCACTTTTATCCTGAGAACCTGGACATTCCTGTTTCCACTAACAGAAGGAGCTGCAGATGCACAGTAGCTCAGAAAACCCAAACAGTTTTTTCACAGGAATAGATCTGAGTTTAGAGGTCACAATGCAATTTCAATGACTACAATTACCTTTACTTTCTTGATTCTGACTCTGCTTACTGGTTCTCTCCCTGTTTCACTGTGTCATACCGGCCTTGGCTCTGAAGCAGAACCCACAGCTGCTCCTCCCACAGCCTGCGGGGCAGTCGCAGAGAAATGTGGAGACACTCTTATGCTCCACTATCTGTGCAATGTATTTCTTTCCACCTGGGTACGTGAGAGTGAGATCTAGATCTCAAGAGCACAGTTAGAATGTGATCCAGGGGCAGACTAAAGGATGGGGCCTCTAGGGCACCCAGGAGCACATCTGTGGACAGAGTCGCACAGCAGCACGTACATCTATGCTCCCAATTTGCTGTTTTAACGGAGTAGCGAAGTGCTTATTTTCTGCCTCAACCTATTACTTAACTAAACTATTACAGTCACACTTAAATGCAAAATGCCTATGCAGATTCTGGGAGGCAAACCTGGAACAGAACTTCAGTTTTAACAGCAAACATCTTCAGTTATAACTGGTGTGGATTTATGCCGCAGGATGCGAAGGTTATCAATGAATCTTGCTAGTGAAGAGAAACAAACTCCAAATGCTTGCCGAATCTCTACAGATGCCATCCACCATTTGATATTAAGCAACTGTTCACCTTAGTAAGTGTAGTAGAACAGGCAAAACCAGTGATAACCTCCCTTTCTCTCTATTTTCCCAGGCAATGATTTAAAGTCTCAAAGCTGGGATATAGCAGTTGGGTGAGAAAGCATTTTCCCCACTGAACAGCGTGTCATCCACGGCAATTTTAAGGCACAAGTCTCACTAATTTACAGTGCATCTTCCTGTGTTTTCTGAAGATCGGACAAGTTTTGTACAGTGCGAATTACCTTCTGGTGGCTATCTTTTGAATAAACAGGAATCATAATTGTTCTTTACATGAAGAATTAATGTATATTAAGTTCTTAAAGAAAATGTCTGAATTCAAAAGCAGATCACAGAGTGTTACAACCACATATAGTCATAATTAGTTTATTAGCACTGGTTTTGAAACAAATATACTCAGGTACTTAAACACAGTTTAATTCATGTTTATTTCTACATTTTATATATTCCTGTATGTTACATAATGCACTGAATATCCAGTAAATAAATAATAAAACCATAGTGCAGATTAAAGTAGCAAGGTCAGTTTTAGGTTATCAGCAAGGCCAAAATCACATTAGCAGTATAAGGACAGCAAGTTGCAAATGACTAATACTTAACATGTCATTCTATTGTTGCTATATGCATGCTAGTAGAAATGATTCCTCTGAGAATTGTGTATAGTTATCTACAAAAGAAAACAGTCCTTCCCTTACATTACTATTTCGTGATCTTTTTATTTCTTACCTTTCAGGCCTGATCCTGCAGTCCTTACTCAGCAAAACTTCCAACGCAATCTGTCAGGTTTGTTTCTTACTTTTTCTTTGAGCTACATAAAGTCCATTGGCTCTCAAAACATCTGAATACTAAATGATTATAGAGTTTGAATTCCTAAAAATTTGGAAATTCTACAAATATTCGTAACAGAAAATAAGGTAATTAATTACAGACCTAAAAGCATTAGCTCCAAATCCAGGAACAGATCTAGGCAGAAGCCTTGGGAACTGTCAGGACAGCAAGGCTGGCATCTGGTGACTTAGGCACTTCCCTGATTAGCCAGCCACTTTTGGATCACAGTTTTGGATATAGACATCTTCAGTCTCCTTAAACACTGTTTTGAGCACCTGCATCCTTTTTTTTGGATCTAGCCTTTTTTTATACTTGAATACATGATGTATCACATTAACATTATGCACAGACAATAAGAGAATTGACCCTAAAGTAAAACAAAATGATAGTACAACATGATATCATAGCCATGTCTAGAAGAAGCTATTGTTCTTTTCTGTGCTTGGGTTAGGCACATTTGTTTTAACAGCTTTTAACACTGTATCCCATTTACTATTCTTGTGCTCTAATTGCCTTTTCCTAAACTTGTGCTGAAATAAATCATTGCTGTCTTCATCCTCAGCCTCTGACACTATCTCCATTTTTTGTATAATCAATTTAATGAGGTCATGTTGCTTTTCCAACAGTGTTGATATATCTTTGAGCCTAAAAAAAAAAACAAAACACACGCATACAGCAGGCTTTGTCATTTAGTTTCAAAGGTTATTTTAGTCATTACGGATGCAAAAGCCCTAACAGTCCTCAGCGTCACCTTTCTGCTAGCAAAGAATATTACCTGGAGCACATTTAATTTTTCAAGCTGTGGTACTTCTCTAGGTTTCAGGAAATAGAATTAAAGAACAAATTCCTGGTTCTTGTGAAAAGTAACTTACTATAAACTTAAGGTAAGAGCAACTTCACTCTCAAAATAAAATTCTGAACAGTTCTATCAAAAGTTTTTCCTATTGACTGAAGTAGTCTGGCCAGAAAAAAGGGCCAGACTTGCAATGGCAATTAAGCATCCACAAACATTTAGTGAAATTCATAACTACTTTAACAGCATATGAGAGATACTGATGAGGCACTTATTGATCTCTTTTAAAGTGATAGCCAAAGTGCAATTGATACAAATAAAGAGTTAACATCAGTTAGCATCAGGCATACAGAACACATTATGTTATCTTTTAAAAAACAATGAAATGGGAAATGTGTCTAGAAACTGTCCTCATAAAACTACCAAACAGGCTTTTTGAAAAATCTACTTTTTCAGAATCTCTAGACTCACAAAATTACAGCCTAAAATATACATTGTGACTGTGAAGAACACTTCGGGGTTTCTTTAGATGAAGCTGCCTTTTTTTTTTTTTTTTTAACAAAAAAGTTGATACTTTTTAAAATATGCGAAAACCACAAGAATTAAAATAGTGTGGCAATTAGCTAACATTAATACAAAGCAAAAAGAAATCCCACCCGAAATCAAAAACATATATGCTCAGCACTGCTTGCTACTAGCTTCAGTAGGAACCGAACTCTGACAAAAAACCCCATACTGGCAACACAGTAAACCAAAGTTTTCAGCCAATATTTTCACAGCACTAAACCTTCCATAGTGAAATGGCCACAAGTTATGCTATTCCAAATAATTTTATAATTTTATAAAATGATAATTTTCTTCCCTCTCTGTAGGAAAAGAAAAAAAAAAAGAGTAAGCTCTATGCTGGTTCCTAATATATTGATGTAGTATGGGTTTGAAGAAAGACTTGTTAAATCACATGGTTTGCCTACATCTGTAGGGCGTATTCTCACCCCCCTTCAACTCTTGCTGAGTCCTTCATACAAAAAAATACAGAATCTGTGCAGCGAGACAAAAATTTAGTAACTAAAAAAAGGAGAAAGAATAAAAAAGAGAAAAAAAGAGCAGGGGAGAGTGAGACAGAGTGAGAAAAAATAGATTTTCCTAGCTGTACATTCACAGAAGGCTTTTCTGAAAACATTCTTATGGATATATTGGTAAGATGAGTACGGAAAGTAAGTACAGAGAATTCTTTCCAAGGCCTTGGGAAACATGATTTGTTCAAAGAAGAACCAGGACACTAATCCATTTTTCGGGAAACAATCTGAAGCAGGTTTACCACTGGACCAGTGGAAAGTCAGTTACAGATTGTGTATATTTGCAAACCAATTGGAATTACATCAATTGTGAGTTTAAAATAACCATTGAAAAACTCCATACACAAACCTCTAATTCTGAAATGAAAATGCATTTTCCGTATCCCTTCAGTTTACTTTAAGGAGCAAACAAGTCTGTCCCCTTTCTCTGCCATGGGATAAAAATATTTCTCTACACACAAGTATTTCGAAGGTAAATACATTATAGAACATAAAATACTAAGTTACCATAGTGAAGGAGCTTACTTAAGGACACTAGATACATTGAATTTTACATTTTAGGTACAGTATGGAGCTTTAGAACCGCTTTTTAAATAGGAGTATATTTGTAATATTGGTTCTACTTATTTTTATAGCAGTAAAATAACACAATGAATACCTGTATTTCTGCTTCAGAACTTCCAGTTCTAATGTTGTATCAGTGCTCTGTGCATCTGTGGTAGAGTCCTCACACCCAAAGCAATACTGGAACACGCTCTAAACAAAACATGGAACCAAACTGAAATCAGATCTTAAAGTCTGGCAATAGATAAAAAATCCCAAATAAGTGAATAGTAACGTCTCCACACAGTGTTAAATTTGAAAATAATTTGTTATGAAGTTATTTTTTGTATACTGAACATTTGTTTTGCAAAATTTGTTTAATCGGAAAATTCAGTCTACCAACAACAGCTGAAATGAAAAGTAAACAAATAAAAGAAGAAATGTCAAAAGAGAGTAATTCAATTTTCTGTCTGAATAACTTTTGCACCTTGTCTCGCTTAACAAAGTCTCAGATCACTGAGAACTCAAACACTAATTATGTCCAAATAAGTTAGGCTGCATTCAAACTGATTTATCATTTTCACTGAAGATAGTCAAGGTCTAATCACAATTCCACTGATGTCAGCTAATGACTGAGTCTTATTAATGCAATGTTCCTAGCAATCTGTGTACAAAGTAAGTCAATCATATCGTATTTTAGTAAAAATTCTTTAGTCTAAAATTCACCATCTTACCATAAATCCACAGTATCTCGGCCTGTTCGGATATACAGTGATCGATTCCTGGTCCACCCGACTTAAGAACCAAAATGGTAGCTTCTTCTCTAAGTTGGTGTGAAGATTAACCTAAATGTAGTTTTGCATTTAGAATAAGATATATTCTCTTAAGACGAAGACACATTATTATGCGAAAATAACCATCATGTCATTATATTCAAATCGCTATTACTAGATGTCAAGTCTCAGAGGATATCTACGCTGCAAACAATGGTATAATATTTGAACAGTCCAGCTCAGACACTAAAACCATCTAGTCATAGCAGTACTGAGTATCTTCGCAGAATTAATGATTCCACATAGATGCGCACTATTCTAACTAAAATGGTTCCAAAACTGAGTTGGATCTTGTGTGATAGCTTGAATAGCTCCTTAGTACGGTGTGGGTTGCAGTACAGAATGACAGGGCAGAAATGTTCAAAAGACAGAATATCTGTCATAGCCACAAGTTTTAAGACCAAATAATAATGGGAAAGAGAGTAATCTTTCTCTCTTTAATTGTGCTATATCCTTTTCCTAGATTATGACAGAGTCAGTATAGACTAAGATGCCAGTGGAATGCCTGTGAGAAAAGTTTTCCCTTGAGTAGAAACAAATATGTTATATATGAATGCCTTCTCAGGTGATGCTATCTTTCCAGGCGTTCTCAAATTGCTACAGAAATACTAAGCATATGTATCTAAAAGAACAGGATGTACGGTATAAGCCTATTGCAGACAATCATAATCCTGTCAAACATACAGGAGGTTACATGCCTAATAAAGATTTCGTAGTACTGTCTGAAGTTGCAAGACAACATCCTTCCTGAGCATTCTGTTGGCAAAAAATACCTAAACAGATGAAAAGCATTAACTGCTACAAGAACTGCCCTTATACCTCTGCTTTAGTCATTTGTATCTCTGGCAAAAGAAATCTCTCTTGGGAGGAAATGTTACTCTGAAAAAGAATTCTTCAAATACGCTTGAAGTAAGAAAGTACAGCCCACAAAGTTACATGACTATCAGAAGTTATTTCTGAGCTGTTCTTGTTCTTGGGTATTCTGTCTACGCACACCTCTCTTCTTTATGCTCAGCCACTACGTAGGCTCTGAAACTCTTCAGAAAAAGCAGAGCCAACAGGGAACATAGGCAAAGCCACTCCCTGCATCAATTTTATGAATGGTCAGTTCCTCTCACAATACAGACTTTGAGCAGAACTTCAAGGAAGCATTTGGATAGATAGCTTCTAAGAACATGTTAGTGAGAAGTAATCTTTATTCTGTATTTGACAGGTGTATACTGTGTGTATTTCCACTTGTCAAAGTCAAGCTTGATATACAGTTCACAAGAAAAAACAGCTTGTGAAAACTGTGTGCCAAATTTATTGTTTCTTAAAATGAAAATTTTACGAAGTTCTGCTATTGCCTTAGCCCAGTATGTAAGCTGTAAGGACTTCATTTGCAAAAGCTACTTTGAAAATATCTAAGATGTATACAGTTTTCAAAAGGCCAGACTAAACTCTCCTGATTTCAACAGAAATTCTGTTCGGTGTCTTTATACATCTTCAGGTAACTAAAAACATCTAGAAATGTGACATTGAGTTCCTTAGTTATACCTGGTATTGCATAATATCTCCTCAGCACACAGACCAGCATGAGCCTTCAGTCTACTGAAATGACTTTGGTGTCCTTTTGATTTCTGTGTACCTTAACCTTTTTTCCACTGCATCAATTGTCTCCTTAAAAGACAACTCTCCCATTTCAAACATTGCATTTACTCGTTTTGAGATTCTGTTGTTGGAATAACTCTGAATTCATTCAACCGACTGTTCAAAAGTTCCTTAAAAATGCATTATGCATCTCCCTGACAATGACTCGCATGACTGAAAATGAAATTCAGAATAGGATGCCCAGGTTCACCATTTGCTTTACAAAGATGCTAAGATGTTAGTTAGGGATGCTGATGATAAATCAGCTAATTGTCTAAATGGTGTTCTAACAATGATATCTACTTCCTATAGTTGGTGCTTCTATGCTTCTTCTTACCTGCATTGCAATCCTTTTAAGTGCAGCGTATTTTTGTACTTCAGCTATGTCCCCAACAGCCAAACCAATCTAAAAATACCAGGAAAGATTTCATCATCTATTTTTTTCATAGTCTGTGATTTCAATTGTATTTCTTATTCACATTTAATCCAAAATGGCTCTAAAGTTAAATTTATTTTGTTTCACTTGAATTTGGAAACATACCCCTTTTGTGCATATTTGGAAAAATCCATATCAAGAAATGTAGAAATGCAGCTTTTTTTAATGCCAACTATCTGTCTACCAGTAAGGCAATAAAGAGCTACTTCAAAGATTTGTCAAGAATAACATCCCTTCTTTTTAAGTCTTCATTACTGCTGTTACGTTAAAAAACTTGTTGACTTCTTGATTCAATAGGATCATGGCAGCAATAAATAACTTAAAAAAACTGAATTGTTTGATTTTTATTGCTCAACTCATGTAAAAACTTGATTTCCTGAAAAAAAAATTCATGCTCAATGGAACATGGCTGAAGATGTATTATATATTTTCCCCCTTTCTCATCATTACCAGGTTTTCTGATTCTTTTTGTTCAGGTCAAGCTCATTAGTTGGTTTTAACACTACCGTTGACTGCTGTTTTGTGTGCAATGAAGACCTGGGTATTGCCTTTTTTAAAAAAAATATTGTTAGCGCTAGGTTATGATACAGCAAGGGGTTGAACCAAAACCATTGTTCCTCAATTTTCTTTATCAAGACCTCATAAATAATATATTGCAGCTCCAATTCAAATTCCATCATAGTTACTACCTAAACATATGCAAGACAACCCTCCAAGAGTTAAATGGGAAAATACTCAGAATGGTAAACCGGAGGGAAAACAAGTCCAGGGAAAGGCAACTTTTTAATATGTTACTGAAAGTATCAATTTGTTAAATAATGAATGAATGTCATGAATCAGCACTAAAGTAATTCTATATGCTAAAACTATGTATAAACCTGTGCTTAACCACTTTAGTGTATTAATAAATAGTTTACTTACTAGCAAGTTCATAAGAAGGATTGGAATAAGCAAGGTAAATATAATGAGAACTGTGTAACTCAGGAATGGATATGGCAATTCACTGCTTAGTAATGGATCAAGGAATGCATCGTGGTAATTAATGTCTCCCAGCATCATTGCAAATGTCTTCATTACAGAAAGCAGAGGTGTGCTATATGTTTGCTGCAAAAAGAAGAAACACCAAAATCAAGAAAAAACCCAACCACTGAAATTTGTAAAAAGCCTCTTGAGATTCTTTAGTCCAAAATAACATTTATAATAACGAAAAATTAACTCTGTCATTCAACTAACCTGTGAACCCAAAAGGACAAAGAAACTCAGTCCAAAGGCCAGTATCAGGAAAAAGAAAACAACAGCAATCCGAATCAAAGTCCTCAAAATTTCCCAGAACATCACAACATAGATGCCATAGTTTTCAAATCTAAGCAATAAGTACACAGAACAGAGATGCAAAATTAAATACTGAAGGTAGAGTCTCTTACAGTTTTTTATATAAGGCAATAAGCAATCCTCATTTTCATGTGTGAAAATAGACATTTTTACTCTCTGAGACATTCTGATATAGTACAAATGTGTTGTACTTTCACACCCAAAATAATGCAAGTGGTCCTGTTTACAGCAAGCCTAAACTACATAATCTTATATTTTAATGCACCAAAGCAGTACTTCTTAAAGATATTATTTTTCATGGACAACTTTTACTCTCTCCATAGCCACAGACAGTACAATAATTGTACAACTGTTGCGCCGGGAATAATAACATTAGGAAATTATTCCATTTTTTTGCTGCTTTTCAAAGCAAATTAGCAACCAGAAAAAAGGACAACTGGCACCGTGATCCAACCAGCAGCTACATGCCTGATTTAAAAAGATTTAGTTTTTTATGACACTACAAAGTATGGAAAACAAGCAAACAAAAAGAAACACATTGCTCAGGAAGAGAAGGGGAGTAGCATAATTTTAAGACACCTGTGTTTCCAACAACAGTCTGTCATCTAGTAAGCCCCTCCCATTCTTGGCCTACATAAAAAGTTGATCTCAGAACATGAGTTGTCAGAAATCAGATTAAGCTAACTTTTTCCCTCAAACTTGAATTTGGTAATTTATGTCTTCTGCCAGGGTCAGGGACCAGATGACAACAGTAGCAACTGAGAAAATCCCTCCACAGAACTTTCCCCCTGCAATATTATGTGCAAGGCTGGAAGTAAAGCAAACCTGATCTTCTCCTATTTATTAGGCATTTATTAGGCAAAACTCCACTGAAGTCAATGGAGCTACAGGTTGCTTTGAGAAGAGACAGCCTGAATGAGTTAGAAAAATGATGTGCAGAGTTCTACTGCTATACAAATGAAAAATATTCAGGCCAGAGAAGCATTTCATCTAGCAGAAGAAGGAAGGTTGGGCAATCATGAATTTACTTTTCAGTGTTTAGGTTCAACTCCCATTTTGCCCACAGCAGAGAGGACATGCCCATTCATTACTCATCTAAGGTCAGACACAGCTAGGACAAGGTTTGCCAGCAGAGGCAGTACCGTGAAGATAGTCCCTCTGACATTAGGTCTATTTACAAACCTTGTCCTTAACTACATCCCAACTACAGTAAAATGATCCTGAAATTAATCAGCAAATGCTGTGTTTGTCTGTCTGTCAGACCTCACAGGGGTGATCAGTGCATATATACAATAAGAATCAGAAGAGCACATATGCAGTGTTATGACATGCTGTCATCCTTATTTTCTGAAGAGCTCCATATCACCACTTGTTGCCTATAAGCCCCACCTCATCTTTGTGCATGGCAGTCCTGCTCAGGCACAAACGTGTTTATTAGTCTTAAGCACTACACCCACACTATTTTTCCCTCCACCCAGCTCTCCTGCAGTCCATAACTCATGGACACTGTTGTACCAGTGACAGCATTAAGATCATTAACGGCAATAAACAGACCTGATGTCAATGAAAGAAATAATTTCACACATCATAATTCTTTTACAGGACACTGAGGTATAGAAAAGTGGAGTGTGCCATTTAATCTGTAAAATGATAAAAGAATTTACCTTCTCCCAGGTATTATTTATAAAAACAGACTTCCTTTTGCTTCTTGTAATTCAAATCCTTTTTTTTCTTTTTAAGTGAAAGTCTATACTGTATAATGAAACATGTTAAAAAGACATACGCAGTGGCTTTGCTTACTTAACATTAAAATAAATCTTGTTATTTTTTTAGTTGCCATAACATATGTAGTGAATCTCTACATGAAAAACACTGAAAACTACTTTACAGGTCATTTGGTTAAGAAATTCCTATGGTCCTAATCTGGAAACATGTATAGCTTGAAAAAAAAAAAAAAATAGTGCTATTGCACTTGATCAGTTGTGGTTTAGGATATGTAAAATATCTGAAAATATTAAAAGTATTTTAAAGTATTGTAAAGCATCTAAATAATTTTTACCGTTGAAGGTAAAGCAAGAAGTTCATCCAAGACAAGTATACAGCAATTGCTCCACATTCCCACTGCAAATGAGCTGGTGTATTAATAAATAAAGAAGACACAAAAATTATGCTTGTAGTATAAATTGTCCAGTCCAGTAGATTGGAGTAATCCAACAAATATTTCAATTTCTAGGATTTAAGAGAGACGGATACATATTTACAAGTCATACATCATTAAAGGACTGAATTCAATACACTATTTAAATCCTTTTCTCACTTTTAATCTTGTATAAATTGGTATTTCCCTTTTAATTAGGGAAAAAATCAGATTTATTTCAATATCACACAAACTGCTATGCAAGCACACTGTCTGATTAATGTTATTTCTCTATGTATTTACCTGCTGAATCAGCTGAAATATTTCTTTGCAGATTCCCAGTAAACTCATTATTAAAACTAAACACATACACACCCTTGTGAAGTATGAGTTCTGAAACAAAAAACAGAGCACAAAAAAAATTAGAAATTATTAAATGAATGTTTATTTCAGCTCTACCTACTACATATACATTACATTGCCAAGTTAAGAAACTCTGTTAGCTTGCTTCATATAAACTTATTGCTATCTAAATTCTGTTTTACTAATATTTATCGTGAAATTCATGTCATGTATATTGTGGTGTTTAAGTAATTCAAACCCAAGTATGAAAGTTTGAGCATTCCCATGATAAACAGTTGCTGTGCAGCTTCCTCATGACTACTATTCGAGTTTGGGAACCGAAATTGCAGTTTATGCCACATTTTCAGTATATTTTGTCACTGGATGAACATAAAGAAAATTCTGTTGTCCGTAACTTCACTATCATATTGCAGTATCTGAAATGGCAATAGAAGTCTTTGGACAAATTGGAAGTCCTGGCATCCTTACATGGCTGCTCCCTTTGATGTCTCATTTTACAACCAGTATAGGCAAAGACAACTTTGTTCTGAAAAGCTTTCCATTGGCATAGATAACAATAGCAAATTTCATCTTTAATAAATAACTTGTAGAGCTAATTCCCGATCTGAGGAGTTCGTAAACTCACAAGCAGACCACAAATTGATGGCACTCATTTTTCAGTGGTGATGCAATACACATCAGCATCTGCCCCATTGCGATGTCCCTCTTTAGCCTGCGTTAAGAGTATAGTACAATGTTCTGTAACACTGTGCTCCCTACAGAGCTGGCATTCCCCACTCCATTCCCATTACCGGGTCATTAGTGCACTGTTTCATCCAGTGCATGACATTTCATATACACTGCTATTGCTCTAGTCTCCCAGGCAGCACTTTCTCGGCTCCTGTTCAGTGTACAGGTTCTCCACCAGCTGGCATGATTCCTCAGTGAAGGACAGGACTCCCCCTTCCAACTATGCTTCTTCCACCCAGTTTCTCATGATTCAAGGACCTGGGTCAGTCTGAATTATTCCTCTGTCTGCTGGATGTAGCTCCTCTCATTCTCCTGTCTTCCACCAGGAAGATGAGTGAATTAGTGGAGCAGGAATTCTTCCAGTTCTGCTAGTTCTTCCAGCTTCTGAATCTTTGAGAATCCCACATGTACTGGGCTGGGTATGTGATTCTCCAGATTTTTTCTTATATCAGGATATCCGCATGAACCTTCTACATCCCTTGAGTTTATTTGATTTCATATTCCTACTAGCATATCCTTTTTGAGTTCCTATTTCAGTTTTATGTATTTTCTCTCCCAAAGGAACTGTAAAATATTTTCTTGTCTCTTTTTTTTTTTTTTCCCCTTGCCAAAATCCTTGGTTTTAGCGATAAAATCGCTTATTTGAAATGGATCATTTGAAAAGTTCGGCACACAACAAAATCTTGTCTCCATTAACACCAGTATGTTACCGTTTGAGGGCTAATGACACAGGTGTCTCTTCTCAGAATATCTGACTTCATGTCACGGAGACAGAACTCTGACTGTCCTGCCCTTCACATGGCCATGGGAGTGTAACAGTATGTATGAATTGTACTCACAGGTTCAATAAACAGCAGAACATGCAGTTCCTTCTCTGGAAGTCTAGTACAATGTTCAGCTTAGGGACAACACAGCCTTCTTAAAAGACAGAATACTGCTTAGTTTTAACTGCAGGAAGGAAACACTCACAAAAAGGACATCAACCGGTCACACCAATATCTTTCTTTTCTAAAGCCTCATTTTCCTGTAGTGGTGGACCTGAAAACTCTAACTTCTTCAGTTTGCTATGGTGTCCTAATTATTCCAGTTCCAGTTTCTGAAAAAAGTTTGAGTTTTGTCTCTTAACAGCCCCAGTGTTTCTATGGAGGACAGGTTTATCCTGAGACATGGTTCATCCTTGCTTGCTTTCCTTATGGCCCCAACCAAAGCATCATTTCCATCCAATGCATCCAAACCATGAACGAGACCAATATTCATAAATTATTAGAGTAGCCCCACACCTGTCACAGTTGTTACTGAAAGACAAATATTCAAAAGTCATTGTGATGTATCTGTACTTTGCTACCTAATCAAGTTTTTCATTTTGAGATATTGTAATTCCAAAATGAGGTTTTATCATTCTCATTTTGACACAACACAATTTTTGCTATTTTTTTCTTCTAAGTTTGTAAACAGGGATTACAGGAAACAACCAATATACTTAAAAACCTTTCACAGAGTTTTCCATCCACATATGACTGAACTCTGCTGTTACATTTTTCACTACTGTTGTACATGAGGTACCTATATACAGACTGGCAAAAACTGTTCTGCCTTAGCCTCACAGTTTATGAGCCTAGTGAAGAAATACTGGGCCTGCAAGGGAAAGTAATACATAATATGTGCAAAGAAAGATGTAACTGAATACCCAAAAGCACTTCATTACTGACTACTCTTTCTATGTCAAATTTTAAATGTGCAATATCCAGTTATTTTGGTTGAAAATTAAAAGGACATAGAAACCTAAAGAATCCACTGTTTTCTGTCCTTTCATAATAAAATACACGTTAACCCTTTTTCTTTAACAGTAAAGTAATATTCACTTCAGGGAAGAAATTGAAGTAACCACGTACCAGATGTAAAATTTTCAGAAAAGATTAAAAATAGGAAACGAGAACTGAAAATTATCCACAGAAGTTGCTGCTGAATGTTTAAAAATACACACTTCAATTCTCTTCCACAGAGTTGCTAAATCATAAATAAATCTAGAAATTATTTAAATAATCACAACTTTTTGCTACAAAAATCCTAAACATATTGTGACTCGTACGAAAACTCAGTACCTCATATTCTAATGGTCTTGCTTCATAGATCTCTGTTCCATTCAAAGGTCTTCCTGGCTGTATGTGAGTGACCAGAAGAGTCAGTGGGATGAGACCGAGAGAATATATGCCTAAATTCATCAGATGCGCTCGAAACCCATAGGCCATCCTTGAAAGTGAGAATGTTACAGTTACAACACTTTACAAATTTACAAAAGCATGCATTCAAACGTAAAAGTCAACAATGTTTTCAAGATGAGGAAAGAAACATTTCTTAAAATGTCCTTTTGTGATGAATGTGTTCATAGAGCTTTATGCGGACAAAAGTGTATTGGCCGTTCTGAAATACTGTTCCTTTTTTCTTTTTTAACTCTGCAACCCTATTACATATTTTTGCAATAAAGCAGAAACAAAGATAGTGGTTATCTTTGCTGTAAATATCAAAGAATCATTACTAAATGCTAAGCTACATTTTATATGATAATCTATTATTCTAAAACTGCTTTTGAGACTTATGGAAAACACATTTGCTTCAGTCAACACTATAAATATGCGCAACTTCGTAAACAACTCTCAGGTACAATAGCCTTCATCCTGACACGCAATATTATATTTTTATGTACATTAAAATACACCTACCATTTCATAAGCAAATATTCTTTACACACGGGATGACTAAGTAGCTCCATGCGATTGTGGCGTACCATGGCCTACAAAACAAGAAAGCAGAAGGATCAAATTTATCTCATCTAGTTAAGTAAAGTTCTTACAAAACTGGCTAGACCACCTTCTCTACTTGAATATTAGACTAATGAAAAGTAAAATGTCTGTAAGATATTGCAAAGTTCTTTTGTTTATGCACTCTGGCCCAAAGCTCCTACCATCTTGCCTTCTCTGCCTACTGAAGCATCCAGCTTCTCTCCTGCTGCTCTGTTAGTCTATTTCAAGCTTTAAAAAATTATACAGGCTATTGCCAACTATACCTGTGAGATGACCAAGCTTTTTTAGTTACATTCAACATGAAAATACTTATTTACTTATTATTGGACAGTATACCACGTCTAATTGCCAACAGGAAGCCCAAAAAGTAATCAAATGCAGCCAGAAAGTTTGTTCTGTAAACATTTTCTGACAAAGAATGAAAGAACAGACAGGCATTGTGAAAGAACAGCAAAATTTCTTCTAGGTACAGAAAGTATTTTGCAATTAGCATATGAAAAAAATCAGTTTTGTGAGGTTTTTCAATGCCTTACATTCCTGGGCATGGTCGCTAAAATGACTGGAGTATGGTTTTCTTTGATGTATTACTTGAACATACAGCATGTTCTCTTGAAACATTCATAATTGTTTAAATAAACTAAGAATTGTTATCTAAACCTAAAAGAAATGTTACTTATTACTTAGACTACAAGAACTTTGGCCCATACTTCATTCCCATATACTTTAAACATACAGAGTTATGGGCTTTGGAGAAGAAATATTACGATGAAAAATTCAAACCTCTTGATTTTATCTAGAACAAGACAGCATGGAATGATGTCAGAGTAAAAAAAAAGAACTTACATTTAAAGTGGTAAGTGGTTCATAGAAAATGTCTTCACCATCCTTTAGTTTCTTGTTAAGTGTCAGAGGACACTGAAGATATCTGAAGTTATATTCAATCTGAATAATAAACGCACATCAGCATTTAAATGTGATGAAACTGACAGTCTAAGACTGAGATGAAGTGCTTAATTTAAAAAAGGTTATCCTTTAGAGAAAAAAAGAGGCCTGTTGTGTCAAAGTAATTTGAACTCTGATTGTTAGTTACTCTGACAGTGAACACATGCCATCAAGATACACATCTGTGACTGTAAGATGATCATTTTGAATGACTAGCCATTTTGAATTGTAAATTAAAAAGTTCAGATTTCTTCTTAAAATACTGCAGTTTAAAAAGGTCATTCTCATAACTGTAATTTGTTTTAAAGTTGAATTTGAAGAAAAGCTCGTCTTTAAAAGTCATATGGCTTTGATAACACGATATGACGAAAATGTACAGTAGCAGAACATTTGCAAGTTTTCTGTTAATGATGTAGACACAACCCAATGTAATAATTGATGAGGTGTTTTTCAACATAGTTTTAAAGGTAACAACTCTAGAACATTCATGCCTCCTTTGCGTTGTGAAAGCAATCTACTGCTTAAAATTTTGGACAAGAATTTACAAAAAAGAACCACATTGGACTCTGAATTATTGATGACAATTCTGCCACTTATGATAGACATGCTTTTGATATGCATGAGTAGATATTATGCCTTCTATCACTGTTATTTTGAAATATCCATAATCTGATACCCAGCTTGATTGCAAGAATTAACACAAAAATAAAGACTATAGATTGCTCAAGTTTAATGTTATACTTGTTCAAATGCATAAGCATTACAGAAACTGAACTTCAAAGTCATTTACAGCCCAAAGCATAAAATAAAATCAACCACCTGTGTTTTTTACTAAGATCTGATATTCATCTACAAGTGTATCTTATCCATGTAAACTTGATATATACATTAAAGTACACATATTGTGTAATTCCCAAACTTTCAAGTCAAAAATGTGTTCATTTCAGTGTCACAGAGGCAATAAAGAGAATTCAGTGGCCCTGCTCATAAAAAAAAAGAGACTAATAGTTGAAGATTGCTAGCATCTGATGAAGTGATTTTAAAAGTCATCCTAATAGTGACAAGTTTCTTGCCAAATATATATTAAAAGCAGATTCAAATATGGTTATTGGTGAATAAGTACTGAATTCATAAATCAAGTTAAAACATTGGCTGATTTCAATTTACCAACTATAATTGCAACTGTAGAACATATTTAAGAGGTATTAGAATTTAATCCAGTATTGGTAGCTATAAGCCAAGCTGATGATTTTCTAACTTAATTATCTAAATAATGTACCACTGCTAACATATAGCCAGGCATATTGTGACATATTCCATCCTAAGACCATAAAATATAGTCTTCATATTTTTTTTCATCCACTTACATAGAAGTCTCGACTTGTCTTTTCCTCTGAAGACTCAATTATGCAGTTGTCCAAAACCAGCTTTGCAGACGAACAGAAAAGTGAATTAAGGTGATACAGATAATGTTCATCAGAAAGAATATGTTTGTACCTGAAGAAAACAACCTTAAAATATAGGAGTCATCTAATGGAAGTCAGATTTTATGGTGTATGTTTTGAAGACATAAAACTCCAGAGTTTACATGTAGGAGTTAAATACTGAGACTATGCAGTTTAGAAGGCTATGTGCTAGTTTAAAAATATAAAATGTGAAGTGTTTATGAATACATGCATACCAACTCACTTGCTATTTTATTAAAAAGCATTTCTGTAGCATCATTTAGCTCAGAAGGTGAAAATATGTCAAATGGTTTTGAACCCAATTCTCTTTTGACTTTCATCACTTTTATACTCCTCGTTTTCATCACTTTTATACTGTTTTTTTATACTACTTTTATAACTCCATTGACCTCAGGAAGCTAAGAGGTTTTCAAGACTAAAGAAATTAAACTAGCCAAACTGAAACTATCACTAAAATGCCATTAAATCAATTGGTGAATTTATATTGTTTGTATTTTATAATAATACGTATTAGTGAGGACAGCATTAGAAAAACAATGGCAAATTATGCAATGTAACGAAGGGGTTTTTTGTGCAGTCGTTTCTTTAATGTGTGCAGAAAACTTACTTTGAATGAATCAGGAAGATACTCAACCATTTCCAGTAAAGGACACTTATTGGCACTAGAATAGTGAGAAAATGTCACAACAGCTTCTTCCCACCTGCAAAAATTAATTAAGAACATGGAAAAAGAATTAGTTGCTTCTCTTCTAAATTAACTACTTTTAGATTGAGTTAATTATTTAAGATATTATCTTGTAAATCACAATCAGTAACAAGTTTACGTACCATTAATTGGAAAATCAACTGTTTGGGGAGTAATTGAGTAACATTCTGGATGCTTCTCTAAGAATGATTCATGTTTAATTCTGTTATCAATCAAGCAGAAATGTTTCAACTATGCTAAGATCTTCTAAAAAATGAAACTTGAACTAAGTTGGAATCTTGGGTTAGAAGTTTGGGTGAGTAATAATAAATACAGTAAAATACTGGCAGTTCCTGCAACTCTTACCAAGAGATGTGATCATTAGGCAATGGTGCAACACTTTTATTCCTAAAGTGGGGCTTCAATATATTGTAACATAAAACATTCTAAAGTGCAGTTGAACTGCCACATTTTTAAATATTTGCAACATTTAAAGCAACAATTTAAAATTAAATCTCTTGAATGGTATCAGTTGTACTCACATTTTGATTAAAATTCTATAGGTATTGAAGCATTATGTGAAAGGCTGAAATTATGTAAGTAAGAAGAGGAAAGACATGGGAACAATTACTTATTCCTAATGGCTTCTGTGTGGTTTTTTTTTTTAACAGAATCTGAAGAGTAAGTCTAATATGGAAAACAACATGCCACATATCTGATGTCCATTACAATTATGCCATATTTTATTTGCTTTCACTAGAACAAAATACAGTCTCTGGAATTTTAAAATACGTACTCAGTCTTACTTATTAAACTACAGGTTTTCAGATCTTAAGCTCAGTTAAAAAAACCAAAGCAAAATGGAAAATAAATTCAGAAAGCATTTTCTGTGTACCTTACCTTTTGTGTAAAATGACAGCAGACACTACATCTTTTCTCCTATTGTGTATTGCTTCATGGAAAAAAGAAGCTACTGCTTTGTTGAACAGAATTTTTGCACCATAGTCAAGAAGTAACCTTACTGCTTTTGCATGTCCTTCTCTTGCAGCCAGGTGCAAAGCTGTGTTCTGTGCAGAAAAGTAGTACAGCAATGCATCCATGAGAATCATTTGGGAAAAAAAAAAAAAGGTACATACTTCAGTCCTTTCCCACATTGAAAAGCCACATGCCATACTATTCTCGGTTACAAGTCCTGAATGCTTTTACTAGCAACATTAAAAAATAAAATATTCTCACAGGGATTCTGATAGAGATTATAGACAGGTTCTTTATTCTACAGAAACTCAGATGTAGATAAGAAAAGCCAATTCATTAATACCTTTTAGTTTTGTAACAAACAAACTGCAAATCACAAATAGGTAAAAATGATGGTATCTACAGATACACCTGCATTTGATAATCATGAAGAGAAGCATCCAATCATATACGGAGGTGCTCACACAAACAAATCTGCAAGAAAATCTGCAGGCACAGTTTTATAAGAGGAACATTTTTTCCTTTGGTATTTTCAGAAAAGTAAGGCAATGACTGATTTAGGAATCAAATTACACTGAAACAGACTTTTGAAAGCCTTCTCAACTCACCCAAATTTTTCTGAGGGGAAATTAAGAACTAAGTATTAGCTTCTTATTAATTTCTAGGCAAAATTTGTTCCTAATCTAATAATTCTAAAAGTTCTGAACACCAGTTCTCAGGGAAATTAGCAACACCTTATGTGTTGGAAACTGAATAGTTCTTTAAAATGACCACCCTATGTTTCTGATGGGGAACTGTTAGGCAGGTTTATACAAGAGGTCTCCAATCCAGGAGACGGATTCTGTCTTGGCCCAACAGATACTGTATTTGTCCAAACTTCAGAGCAAGACAGGAGTTGTATCTATTGGACACTGCTGCGCAGAACAGAAAGATTTCAAACAATATGTTAATGAGCTATAGTTGATACTGGATTTTTAAAAATCTGTATACGCTCTTTAAATTTAAATTACCAACGTTTGTACCACATGGTTAAAATACTCTTGCATTGTAAAGGGGGCAAGAGTCTAACATACTCAGTCTAACATACTCAGTATTTTATGTTTTCTATTAGGCTATTTGCATTTTATTTGTCCCCGACTTACAAGAATTGGCTAACAATTTCAGCAATCATATATTAATCTAAACAATAAACTTTAAGAGTGGTGAAATACAAAGACTTTAAATGTGCCACAGGAAATGAAATATTACATATGTAATGCACAGAGGAAAACTACTAATAGTACTACTGACGTTTGGTTTAGAAGTAATAGCAGATAAGAAACAAATAATGCTATGTGAACACATACCCCTTCTTCATCCACTCTGTCAGTACACTTCACATTAGTATCCAAAATGATCTGCATTGTGCGAGTGTATCCTCCGAAGGCAGCATGGTGCAGGGCTGTCCAGCCTTTATAATCACTTACATGTAGTAGTATAAAATTTGTAATTATAAATTGAAAACTTTTTATAAATTTAAAGTAAATGTACATGCCTCCTCCTTTCACTCAAATCTCTTTCCTTTGGCATGACTATTGCAGAGATGTATATACTTTATATATGTATATACTTTTATATATATGTATATTCCCATCTCTATTTTTACTAGGTGTACTAGTCCAGCTAAGGACCCTGGAAATAAAGGGTTTGACAGTAGTCCATTTAGTGGGTCTGCCACAGTCACAAATAATGAATCTATGACAGGTTTGCTTGCCAACGGGTCTCCTCAGAATGCTTAGGCCCTAGATCCAAGGTGTAGCTGCAATGGACTTGGATGCACAGGACTTGAAAGTTAAAGCTCTAGACTGTACCTTGGAAACAGGATTCTAAACTTTTGGTAGCTTTGGCTCCTGGCTTTACAGGTGTAAGCCTGGAAGCTTTTGTGGAGCTGTCAATGATCTGAGGATCTTTGACCCGAAATCAGGACTTGGAGTGCAAGGCAAGTTGCCTGTGAATCACCAATCCTAAGAACTCCTACTGAAGCCTGGAAGTGAAGCTGAGGTGATCATAATATTTCCAAAACAGTATTTTTTCCATCAAAAGGTTCAATATTCTTCTTTCAGTTGGATTTAGAGAAATCTCAGTTTCCCCAGTATTAGAATCCTTGCTTTACAGCTAGCCATGACTCTATGTGCCAGGCTGAAGCAAGGCACAATCAGCTTAGTTTTACAAATAGTTTATAAATATGCTCCCTATATTGTATATTTACATTGTATATATTAATATATTAAATATTTTCATATATTGTGTTCATTGTTCATATTTATATTATATTAACTTCCCAGCAGATGGACACAAAATGTAGGGTGATAGTTCTTTTTTGCCTTTATGAATGGAAATCTGTATACTTACCAGAGAAAAAGGGCCCCTCTCTTCAGAAGAAACTGAACTACCTTCTCATGACCGTTCTGGGCTGCCAAATGAAGGGGAGTCATTCCCTTCTTATCACCTTCATTCAGAAGTCTTGTGTCTTTCATATCTCTTATAAGTCGTTGACATGTATTGATACGTCCATAGCTTTGAAAGATAAACATAGAAATTAATGTAAAAAAAGAAAAAAAGATGGAAAAAATGGCATTGATTCCATTGCCTAGACTACACTACTAACCTGGCAGCAAAGTGTAATGGTGACTTCTTGTCTCTGCTCTTAGAATAGATGGAAACGTTGAGGCTGAGTAAATTATTTACAGAGAGGGCCACACCTTGTCTGCATGCATAATGCAATGGAGTGCATCCTTCATTATCTTCATCCACTACAAGATTTTTAATATGTTCCATCTGTTACCCCCCAAAAAACCCCCAAAAGAATAGAATTACATTTATATCACTAATGCTCCACAGCTTCGAATAGCTTGTAACAATAGCATTAATACTTTAAAGCAGTATCTAAAAATAAAAAAACTTTAGGAAAAGTAAATTTAGCAACAATGAGCATTTAATCTCTGCTGATTTGTGGGTCACCATTTTTTCAAACAACTACTTTTTGAAGAACACAGCAGTTTGCCACTCTGCACCCTTACTGCAATCCATCCGCACTACAATACAGGGAATTCTTCTTTGCTGCCATTCAACCACAATACTCATTGCTGTCAGCAGAAGTCTTGTAGAGAATGTATGGGTAGTCTACGGTCTGTGTTCAGTAGCAAAACTTCTGGCTGTCAAGAACCATCAGTTCACTGGTTTACAGTGTAATTTTATTTCCCTCATTTCTCTTTCTCATCTTAATTTCCCTGTTTTTCCTCTGTACCTGTCTAACACTATCCTACATATAGCCTTTCTTAAAGCAACTAAAAATCTCCTCCCCCAGTTTGCTCCACTCCTTTGTCTGAATTATTTGTGTGATCAATAATTAGAAAGTCAATGCAGATAACAGAGTTATCAGTCTGGTTTAAAACTGTTTCTCTACATCTGCTGAAAAGGGAAGTTGAATCCATTCTACGTTACTAATCAAAGTTGTTTACAGATTTCAGCAGACATTGAAAGATCAGTTATACTTGATTCACATTTAAAAGACTGGTTCTCGAGCTCTGGAGGCTAGCAAATTTAACTCTCTCAAGCGAGCCTGGGCTCTAGCAGTATGACCTCAGCATAGCCAAATACAAATCCATGTTTGAAATCTTTTTTAAAACTAAATCCAAGACTTCATTACAGTCCAGTCCACAGAAAGCTCCTGCAGCATATGCTATAAGATATTTAAGTCTTAGAGCCTGACTGAATACGAGCGTGTCCCCTAGCTTTACTGCATGCAAGTTGGGAAAATAGAAGGGAAAAGTTCTATGTTTTATTGCCTACCTCTTGAGCTATTCAATGCCCCAACAGCAAAATAATTTATGGGATTATGTTATTCCTTTGCCTGGCAATAAGAAAACTGTATTATTGGCTTTGAAATGTTTTCATGAGATATGTACCTCTTCAAACTATTTTCTGTGACACTGGGCAACTTAACAAGTAGCAGAAACTTTTACAAACATTCCGAAATAAAACGATAGTTGCTTTTTTCTTTACATTTTCTACTAAGGGTAACAGAAAGACATAAATTGATGCTTACTGTACCTGTAGAAATTTCTCATTCAGATGCTGTAATCCTCCAGGCTGCAATACCGTCAAATGCAAGAAATTCCGACCAAGATGATCTTTTAATGATACATTTGCTCCTAGATAAATATGGAAATAAGTACCAGCAACTTCAAAACTGCTGGCCCCTGGCACTAACTGATGATGTTTAAGACAAAGGAACAAATGTTGAACAAATGTGTTTATGAATCTACAAAATAACGAATATTATTTCATGTCAGCATTATAACATATAACTTTGCTAACAAAAATCCCCCTACTGACACTCGGATTTCACCATTATCTCAGGTGCGTATGTATTCTGTATTTCGTTGCAGCACTAAGATTTATATGGGGCCCTTATATTCAGAGATACTGAGCACCCACAAATCAAGAGGTAATTTGAAGATGAAGACGATCGCCTCTTCTAATCTTTTAAAAGTTGTAATCTTGTTACAGCTTCAAAACTTATTACAGGGTTTATTAACAAAATCAGTTATATTACTATTAACAAGATAAAATATAGTAACAATAATTAGCTTGCACCAAAAGCATAGCAATTGATAGAGCTCAAACATTTTCAAGGTGACTGTGATTATATAAAATCACAGGTAATACTTGAAATATGGGCTTTAACATTTAAAGATTGATTGCTGGTACAAAACATGACTGTTTAAGTGGTGTATTTATTCCACAGTTCTGCTTACTTTGCGAACTGCTAAGGAATGCATGGATGGAGTGCCAGTGTCATCTCTACCTTGAGAAGCATGACACATGGCATACACATTGTTCTACAGCCTGTTCACTCTGTATTAAAAAGAGCGAAATCATCGCACTAATTATTCATTTATCTCAAGAGATACCAGCACTATGCAGCTGTTTAGCTCAGCTGCTCCTGGACTGTATGCTGAAGTACTGGATTGAAATTGTGAGGGAAGTTAGATGCAGAGTTTTAACATGTATGAACCCCATTCAAAGGAAGTATGTTATACATGTATATTCCTTTTTACCTTTTGAGAGCAGTAAATTCACAATTTTCCATGATGCACAGGAAGTGGCCAACAGAAGCGGTGATCGACCTTCTATGTCAACACTATCAATATTAGCCCCCTGCAATAAAGAATTTCAAGTTTATCATGAATAATGAATAAATGAAATTTTAAAATGGTGCTGCCTTTTATAAGCATAGCAGAAGTATAGGTATTCTTAGTAACTCCAGAGAAGTAAATTCAATAAACACATAACATCTCTCTATAAAACTACTATGTTTTCAAACTATTAATCACAGCCCTGTCATCTATACATAAATAAATTTAGATCCCTAAATAACAGTGCCCTACTTCTAGGTATACTGAACTTGAAACTCATGAACTTTTGTTAGGACACATTTCCATGCATTTAAATACTCAAAATATATAATTCTAACTTGAAAATACTGGGATTGAAGCTTCAGAAAAATACAAAAATTACAGCCCTTTTGAATGATATGGTCTTACCTATCAAGTAATTACCAGAACAAATCTGAACCTCTATGCTGTATGAATGCTGTTCAAGAAGTATCCAGAGATTAGTATATTTTGATATACACAGCTTGATCTATCTGAATTTCCTATTCTTCATCATAAGCTATATAAGCCAAGTCCATTCTGACTCCAAAGTAGCTGTAACCACAGCAGATACATTTATATTCTCCAAAGTCAAGGTTTTTGATACGACCTTTCTCCTTAGGAGAAGCATAAGGGCTGGAATGAGGTATTCTGGTAAAAGCCCAGTTTTGCTGTTCTGTCTGTTTTCGCACAAGATGCATATTGCCAGTACAGTATGGTCACTACAATCACAGTATCACTATAATCGTATCAGCAAAATACTATGAGCATAAACATATCTATCCAAAAAATTCTACCAACAAGGGAGTATGACGATACAAGTAAATGAACCAATAAGATGTATGTATATTTTATAACATTTTAGACATAATTTTTCTAGATACTGAGTTGCAAGTTAAACTGGATGAGTTGAACAAAGTACACAAAAAATCTATTTTATTTCAGATAATGCCCAAAGATCATTGAAAAAAAAAAATCAATAGGAGTTTTTCCATTAACTTGAATCATCTTTGGGTCCAGTCCTAATTAGAGAGAGAATTAATCATAATCATAACCAATATTTACTTTCTAGGATGGTAAAACCTGCAATGTAGTAATAAGAAACATTTAATAAATGTACACTGATTACTTTACCATAGAGAACAGGAAGCTTCCAATGTATGCTGATGAAACATTTGGGAGTAAGACATGCAGGACCCTTTCCCCAGTTACCTTCCTACAAGGTCAGACAACCTCTTAAAAATGTTCTTACCCAGCAAAGAAACAGAGACCTTTTTTAGCCAAGTGACTCACTGATTTCAGTGAACACAGACCCGCAATTTCTAGTTAATAATGCAATCTTTAATCACCTTCTCTCCAGTTAACATCATTGTTCAGCCTTCAGCAAAATGAATTCTGCAGCATTCATCATTATTTATCACGAGTAACTTATATATTGCCACATATATTTACCACATTTACAATATAGCTGAAGAGTTTGTAAATTTAATTTCTGAACTCCGTTTACTTTTGCATTTATACATTATATATCAGATACTAATATAAAAATAAATATTATGCAAATTTTGTAAATATCAATTATTATTTATAACAATTTAATATTTCATTTTTCTTTTAGTGAAGATAAAAGAAGCAAAAAGGGAAAAAGGAAGTCCAAAAAAAGAAGCAAGAAACAGTTTAAAATTACTGCTTATCTACTTTGAATAAGCACATTTCAATAAAACTAATGAACTAAACTCAGGAAGCAACAGTCAACTCAGTGCTAAATTGTCCAGTATACAAGAAAAAAAAAACAACCCAACACTAAAAGACGCGGGAAAATTGCTAAGATACCAGCTAAATCATGAGAACTTTCTGATTTGCATATCTTTATTTTTCTTTATAGTTGTGTACATAACTTGCAAACATAATCACGCCATTTGCATGCACAAACCAGATACTGTGCACCTAATTGTCAAATATGACAATGGCCACTTTGACATTATTGTTAAAGTCATTGTGCTTAAAATGCTTAATTTGCAAACCAATTTGCAAGTAGTATTTATTTAAAGCTATGAAGTTTTGTAATGTTTAGAAGTTGGGAATATTGATCAAGGTTTCTGTTTTTTCCCTTTTCTTAAGGCTTCGGTTAGTCTTCAGTTATGGTAAACCATAGCTGTACATCTCACCAAAACAAGGGCATGTACTCATTGCCATGCTATGTTGAGACCAAATGCAAAAATAATTAAAAGCTCTGCAAGAAATATCTGTAGAGTTTGATTCTCTGGTTTTTGTGTAGCACTTGACCTACAACTTACAAAAAAATTGGTGTAATTTAAATGTAAATAGCATACATACTGTGCCTGGACAATTCTGTTTAGCATAGATAATCTTACCTTTCGTATCTAGAAGAGCTAGACGTAACACTGCATCTGTTTAGAATGGCTTTAATTTTCAGACACAAAAAGTACCAAGAATAAGATAAAGGAAGTAATCATTGTAAGTTAATGTGCATGAAATGTGGATATTTATTGTATAAAATAAATAAATGTTGCTCTTTATTAAGAGCAGAAAGCCATTCTGAACCGGAATTTGATGTTCCTTTTGAGCAGTAACATTGCTCCACCTTTTATTTTTCACCCTTGTGTACACCACAGCATAGGTGATACCTGGTGACCTTGCCAGGAGTCCAAGAGAGCAGGCAGCACAGGTTGTATGTGCCGCATCTCACTAACCTCAGCTGGCATATTTTGATCCATTCCCAGATAGGGCAAATGAAAACAGTCCTAGAGCTTCAAAACAAACCTTCAGCATAGATTCTATTGGAGGTGGTCACAATAGTCAAAATGGCACTCAAGGAATAAAATTTTGTTCTTAGTAAAATGCAGTGTTAAAGATAGTCCCTCTACTTTGTGCACGCAAGCCTCAATATGCAAAAAATTGCACCTGTATTTCTCAGGTAGCAACTTCTGTAGATAGGTTGTTTTGTCAGACAAGTTTAAGCAGTCAAACCTCACCATTTCACATTTGAATTAAAAATAAGCACAATATCTAGCTCTGACTAAATCCAATCCCTATAACAGACTTTCTGAGAAAAGCAAAACAGTATGTAGAAGAGAATTTTTCTTAATATAATTGTCATGAAGCAAAGTAAAAAAGCCTAAACATACATAAAATTAAAAAGAAGTCTGATGACTTATGAAAATTTCCTCAGTAGAGTGGGGCATATAATGATTATATAAGCCTTAGTTTAACTGGTATAAATGGACACTTGGAGCATAGCCAGTAGCATCCCTAGTTAAACTTCTTCTCTTTCTCCCTTATAATTATTCAGTGAAGAAATACAACCAAACTACACAGAGTAAAAAGTATTTCTAGATCATGCACAAACTTCAATATATATGGCTATGTGATCCTACAACAATCCTATGAATACACTTTAAAGAAAGGATTTCTTTCTGGAAAAAATCAGATTAAATTCAAAGCATGTTTAGCATTTATTTCACACTTCATATCCTAAGAGTGAGGGTGACTAAACTAGTTTGTCATATTTGGTAAAAGATGTTTATGAAACCTTTCTGAATAAGTAAAATGGAAATAAAAATGCAAGTTTTCATCCTCTGTCACTGTGGGATGCTATTATGGAGCCGTAACTACCATTGTACTGTACCTGTTAATTACGCATTATGAAATGTGTGTGTGTATACATGCACACGTATATGAATAACCTCTACCTGAGAACACATTCTCCTTTATGAATTTCTCTATGCAGACCTGTAGTAATAGACAGCAATAATCTCTATAAACATGTTGCTTGATTAAATATTTACCATTGAAATCAAATACTCTGCCAGTTCATAATGATCAAACAATGCTGTCCTGTGGGGAAAAATGCAAAAATACAGTAACATTAGAAAGGACAATGAAGTTTCAAGCCAAAGGGTAGCATTCCTCTCCATTTGCTGCATTTTATAATATTTTCAAATAAATACATTTTAAAATAAAGAGACAGAGAGATACCTTTATTACATAATTCATTTTAATAAATTGTTTCAAATTTTGTCATGGAGTTTCATTTTAAAACTAAGTTCAGTTTAATTAATACATTGAAAACTCACTACAGGAAACAAAGACCTCATTGGTAGGCCAACAGGCATTTTACCACTGATTTTTAACAGAATCAGTCATTTCATATGTCAGATCCTTTGCTGTACCAGACAAGGTAAATATAGAATTCCATAAAGTTCAGACACAGTTTGTTCCAGGCAGACCTAGATCCTGAAATCCTTTTCATTTATTCAGTCTTCAAAAATAACTTGCTAGATATTTTGTGTAATAATGCTAGAGTCGGGTTAAAATGGCAATGGCTAAATATGTATTCCGACTGTCGCAAGCAAGTCTACTTGAAAAAATATGAAAAAATACAATATCCTGATATAAATCGTGGTAACATTTATTAATTTACTAAAAATATTTCAAAGCTGTCTACACACATTAAAAAATCTCAGGTTTTATTCCACAATAAATCATTGAATTATATACTATAGGAAAAAAAATGGTCAAAGTAGGAAGAATAGCACAGTTAAGACACACAGTCTAAATGTTTTCAGAAGTCAGACCTCTATTAAATATTTTGACTCAATGAGCAACACAGGACAGTTCCAAGATTGTACTGTATCTCAAAGATAACAGTTCCCTTAGCACTGTAAGAGGTAATGAAACTGGGTGTACTCTAGTTAGAACTGATTACTCAAAAGATGTATTTTAAAAATCATGTCATGGTTCCAAATAAGTAGAGATGCCTCCATTATCTATAGTAGACCCCTCCAGTCAGGCATAAATACTGAATGCTTCACACACGCTCAAACTAAATTCCAAGGTGACTGAAGAGAAAGCGAACTAATTTTATAAAATATTTAGATGGAAACATGACAGTAGGAATGTGAAAGGATCAAGTCCTGCCTATGCTTCACTGTTCCTTCACTTCTCAACAAGTTATCATTCCTTTTCAGTTTATTTACATTCTGAGAGATTTGCATGACTTTCTACCCTTCTGATGATTCTTGGTGACATTTTTTTTCCTGTTTCACAGACACGGGGAGTAAAAGAGTGTCATTCTTTTTCCAAGCTTTTTCCAAGGGCAATAACTTTCATGGATATGACAGCCAGTTATCTATTAAGTAGTATGTTATGTCTACACAATTTTCTTCTACATTCTGTCATCATTTTGTCTTCATGTTCTATCGCCATAGCATTTCCAAGGGTACCCAAGCCTTACATCAACTTTACAATACACTCCCTTTTTAATTTCTTCAATTATCTTTGAGTTATTCCACTTTATACTGTGTCCAGAGAGCAATCATCTCCACTGCCTCTGACAATCTCCCAATCATTTAATATTGTAAAACTCCTTGTAGAATACCACTGTAAAATTTTTACACTTAAATGCAGTGAGACATATCTCTTTCTTACAAAAATGTATAGATGGGGAAATATACTATCTTCCATAGATCTGGTAGCCAGCACATTTAACTAAGTGTCTTTCTGCTACAGAAACCTGAGGAAACTTCTCCACAGCTTGGTGCTTTGATTTCAAATGGACTGTGAAAGACTAGAAGTCTTGAGGATGATTACATACACAAATGCCATCTGCAACTTTGCAGTCATAGGGAAGTGTACTGACATCTACTTGTAGCTGATCAGGTATAAGATAATTTTTTGGAGAAAAAAAAGAAAACACTTTTTTAAAACTGTGTGTTATTTTTCATTCATTTTCTGGAGAACATAACCCCATTAGATGAGGGCATTTGTTCCACAACCTCAGAAGCTGTTAACCATTCCACAGACTTGTTCACCTGCTGCTTTACTGGAGTAAATCATCAATACAAACTGTTAGTGCCCATTCCTTGACATGGTTCCAAGGTAACTGGAACTGGTTTGATTTTGGTATCAGCACCAAAATCTTTAACATTCTGACCAAATTACTGACTCTTTCATATTGTACTAAAACCATCCCATGGAAAAGTTCCAACCAAAGTATACTATATAAAGTATAATGGGATGATGAGAATAACTAAGAATGTCATGGTTCACAATTTATAGTGAAGTCTGGCAGAGCAGCCTCCTACCTGTGAAGCAATGTCTCCTTATTCCCATCTACGGCATCAATAATGGATTCCTCACCAGCATAGGATGACATCATTAACTTTACAATCTCAGTTGCTCCTTGAGTGGCAGCAAAATGAAGTGCTGTGCATTTTTCATTCTGTAAATGGGAAAAGAAAACAACATTTAAATATTTAAAACCCAACAATCAAACCTCCAACCTATTAAACACACTAGTGATCTAGCCCAGGATTCGTAATTCCTAAATGCCTAAATTTCTATGCAAGTAATGAAACTTTAGTCTTTAACTAAAGTAGTGGAACTCTAAAGAAATCTTAGAGACCAGAAAAGACTAAAGAGATAGTTTTAAAGGATTACTACAAAGCCTCTTATTATTCTATGCCAAGTCCCTAAGATACAAGATAATTACACTCTTAACAACCTTTTGTAGTTGAATTAATAAACAGACACACAGAGCACCTTTTAATACGAGAGACGAAGCAAAGGAAAACTACAGAAAACCATAGGTAGACCAGTACAGATGAATAAGCAAACAAATGTGCCTATATAATACAGAAAACTAATTTTTTAAAATGTTTTTGACCTCCTTAAATGGAATCTTCCGTAGAAGCTGTTGTTAAATAAAATTTTCTGCAGGTTAAAAATAACTTTGTATAATGCTTTAGTAAAAGTATTATAAGCTAGACAGTCATAAAATTATTAAGCAATAAATAAATGTTTAGAACAATATTTGTGAAAACAGGATTTCATTTAGGTAGATGGGACAAACTAGCTTTGATACATGCCTGAGGGTTTTGACTTTCTCCTTTTTAGAACAGGAACATTTCAGTGAGTGCATTGGAATGGGCTTTTCCACAGTGCCAGAAGCATTCTCAAAACAGTCTTACCCATCACAAAATCAGCAGCATAATCATCTCATTCAAAAGCCGTGCATTCAAAGAATCAAACCAATAAAAGGCGGCTAAACCATGTTTATCTTTGCTCTCATGAGTTGATTGCAGCCTTGCAAACAATTTGATTAATGATAGATATTTTCAGAAATGTTTATTCATCATGAAGCTGGGCACAGGCCCTTACATCAACAGTATCACAGTAGCAGCAGTAGTACCATTAATTTGTGTTTGCTTACAAAGAAGATACTGTAAAGGCCAGGGCAAGGCTGAGGATAAAAAAGAATGATGAGAAAGGGTCAGATTGAAGATGCCATTTCTGGGAAGGGATGATAGCAGTTGCATAGTAAAGAGTTTGTGAAGAAGGCTGTACCATTCTCGAGTGCTCTCCCAGACTCTGTCTGGTTGTGACTCAAGGACTTCCGGAGCCAGAGGGAATATTATTGTATTCAGTAGTTGAGGACTGATTTTTCTTCTATGGATCTGCCCAAATGCATTTTCAATCCATGAAAACTTTTCATACCCACAACATCCTATGTAACTTGTGTAAATAAACCTGACATTTTGCCCAATCTGAAATTTTGAGATTGTTTTCATTTGCTGCTCCCTAGTTTTGCATTGGAAGAGACAATGAACAATGATTATCTGCTCATCTTTTTTTCATACCACTCAGAGATTCAGAGACACCTAGGCTTTATCAAAATTATATTCTGCCAGCTCCAAGTTTTACCTGTTTTAGATCAATTTGGGCTCCAAATTCAATGCACATTTTAATCATTTCAAGGTCCCCACTCTGAACCGCCAAATGAAGTGGACTGCACTTTCCATTATTGGTAAAATTGATGTGGGTTTTAGCAGAGTGACCCAGTTCTTCACCTGAGAGATGAACATAAATGGATTTTTTTTAAGTGAGAATGAGATAACAGAAGACATAAAGGCCTTCAAAACAAGTATATTAACTGTGGAATAACATTCTCCCCCCTCAAAATACAAACCTTTCTCATCTATAGTTAAACAACGGATAGACACATATTTAGGAATGTAGTTAAGGTGCTGCTGCAATCCTCCAAAAGCTACGAGCATGAATTGTCCATAGGAATAACTGCATTAACTTCTTGTAAGTTCAATCACAGTTGTAAGTGCTTGTTTTCACAGTTCTTTGAGAATTAAAGTAGTAAATTCTTAACACTACTATAAATAATAAATCCTACTGACTGCTTGGAAACAATGTATTTACCTTTTTTTAAAAGAATTTCCATACATGTTTTTGCACCTGAAAATGCAGCTGCATGGATAGGCATACATCCTGTTTTGTTTGGTTTACATATTTTCCCTCCGTTTTCAATCTGAAAAATAATGTCTGGATTTAGCTTAATGACATACAGAAAATTCTGACTAAGGAACATACTATTACAGGCATAGTCACCCCGGTAGCTGTCTCCTTTTTTCATGTTGTATACACATTGAGAGGTTTATATATAAACATCTTTTGCATGTTATATCCATGTATCTATATATACAAACGCTTCATTTTGTGTTCTCATGGCATTCAATATCAGTTTAAGTTTCTTCTTCAGTTTGCCATTCTGATATATTTATATGGTCTTAAAAGATTAAAGTTTCTTAGTAACCTATGGAAAGTAACTAGAATACTAGGTGTGTGATTAGCCTTCCTCCATTGAACAAAGACAGAACACAGGAACAGAATAACACTGCATCCAGGTAAACAGAATCATATTAAAAGAAGATTGATAATTATACCTACCAGGAGTGTCAGTGCTTCAGGATTATCCTTGTAACATGCTACAATTATAGGTGTGTTCCCTGCTTCACCTTCCAAATTAACATCTGTACTGCTATGCTGGACTAAAATCTAAATGGTTAAGAAAACATTCAGTCAACCATAAGCCAAACACAACAACAAAGGCCTATTCTATTATTTTTGTTGTTTATCACTCATAGCACTCTTGTGACTTGTTCTTTTTGCATGCCAACAGCTCAGAATGCATAGGCAGAGGAGGGACAAAATGCAGGAGAATGTAAAAATATACAGGTGAAAAATGCAGGTGAGGACAGACAAAGCAAAGTAAAATTCTTTACAGCAGACAGCTGGATAACTAGGTTAAACACTGCATATAGCAGCAGACTATTTTAAAGTTTTATTTAACAATTTCCCTAGTACTGGGAGAAAATCTTTTCTTTAGCAAACTGCAGATGGGGATTTTCAACTGAAGTTTCTTATAATGTCTTGTAATATTCCATTTTCCCTGCAAAGTGGCAATGTTGTAGATCCTGCTTGATTAGGCATCTACTGGACATTATATATGACTTGATGAAAACAAGGACCCTTCCAGTCCTAAATTCCTGCTTCAGTCTCTATATTAAGAGCTAACACTGAGCTATCAGTACCACGAAGTACCTCTATGACTGCTTCCAGCATTTTTTGAGAAGCAAACTATCTGGAAATGATAACAATCATACTGCACTGCATATTTGTTCCTCTATCTACATATTTATTTAATTGTCTCCCAGTAATTCCAATGAATTTTTCTGTACTGGAAGGACTGGCACATTTTAATCTCTCTCAGGCAATCTGACAACAGAAACCAAAGCAGAATTAGCTTGAATAAACAACAGAGTGTGGAAAAAATGACTGCACATATTTAGTCAAGAGCAGAATTGTAAAATAACCCAAATCCAGAACTTGATACAAAGCCCATTTTGAAAATGTCATTGTATTTCAGATTTTATTGTTCTTAATTCATAATAAATACAGATTTTGTAAAAGATGTGAGGACAGTAAAATATTTTAGCACTGAAAATCTCTAAAGGATTTTAAGTCTTGAATACAGGAATATGTTTTTCTTTCTTTTGTTTGAATCAAGGAGAAAAAGAGACAATTTTAAAGAGAAATGCAAATGACGTGGTGTTAAGGTTGTATTCACCTAGTAAATTCAGGAACTTTACAAATTCTAAAGTTCTATTCAAATGCTGCATATGGAGTGAAAACATTCTCATTGCACTTGGACAAATGACAAAAAAATCATGCTGCTTTAAATCTCAGTGCTGTCACTATTTTACAAGGTTCAAAATGGTCACACTAGTAATTTCTTCACAATACATTTTCGTGATTTTTAATTGTAGCTTTAGTTCTTCTATTATTTACACCATTATTAAAATGTTGGCTTTAAGACATGTGTTTTCTGATAAATTTTAATGTGGTTTTCATAAAAAAATACATTAGTTTCAAGAAAATGTGGATACTTCTATGACTCACTATACAGTTGTGAAAAAAAATAATAAGAATATAAACGTTTGAAATAACACACGCGTACATGAAATTTCAGTGTTAAAGAGCCTTTTTAAAGAAAATTCCCTGTGTTTGGAGAATTTAAAAGAATTCTCCATGAAACATAACTGCTGCTATCATAGCACAAATATCAGTATTTATATAAATCAGTAAGTTACTTTTTACTTGCTGTGCTAAGAAGACATGAACATTTCTATAAGCAACATATGATATACCCCCCACTCGCTAAACACAGCATATGAGGACATACAGCATATATAAACAAGTCTTGGTGTTCTGCATGCAGCTGCTGTTGAGCTACTTATCAAGCTTGTATATTTATGTGGACTTTAGACTTACCTTAACAATTTCATTATGCAGGGACTGTACGGCCATATGCAAAGGTGCCATCATATTGGAGTTGAGAATGTTTGGATTGGCTCCTCTGCTGAGAAGCAAACTAACACTTTCAACCTGGTTTTTCTTTGTGGCCCAGTGCAGTGGCGTATTTCCAGAAGAATCCATCACATTTAATACTAGGTCAAAGGAGAGAAAACAAAACAAAACCAAAACCAAAGCAAAACCATCAAATGTTCTGATCACACTGGAAAAAAAAAAAGTGTCTTCAATGGAGGTCTAGGTCTGTGCTACTGCATTTCTTTGAACGGAAAAAGAGAAATACTGCATGTCATGCAGTACACTGGGTTAGAAAGATGGACACTGTGAAACACCTGTCTATTTCTTGCCCATTATTATACACCTTTTTTCTCCCTGCCCCCCCCTCACCCCAAAAGTTACTTGATTTCCCTCTTTCCTTGTCTCTTTTCTTTCCTATCTTCTTTGACTTTGCAGCTATTGCTTTAGAGGCTGCACAGAACAAGTGAGTGTGAATAATTAAAATAAGAGATAATAAATAAGTGCTTGCAAATTTTAGGAAGATTAAAGATCGTATCTATTCTGATTCACTTAAGAACACAGAATTAAATCAGTTCACACCAGTTATAAAACTGGTCTCTTCTACACATATATTTTGAACTTTAAAATTGCAAACAAACTTCAACAAATATTCTAAAACATTAAGACAAAAATTATATACTGAAAAGAAAAAGAATATCTCAGTCAGAATAATCTAAAATTAGATTGGCCACCATTAGGTGAAAAAATGAGCTTTTCAGGGCTATTGTATGTTTGCTCAGTAGCCCATAGTCTATCGGTGGAGTCCTATGTAGTTCACAATGCCTATTAATAAAACTACTAAACAACACCTTTTACAGGGTGTTTTTCCATCATTCGAGGCTCCATGTTCTCCTACTTACCACTTCGTCCCTAAATTCCACTTCTTCCCTAAATTTCCTAAAAAAGTCAGGCCTACTGTACTTCACTGTAGGTTTTTTTTTCATATCTGAAGACTGTAAATCTGAGTCCCAAACAAAACAAAGTATGTCGATTCACTGCATTAGAGAGAAAACAGTCCTAACATAACAAGGGCAACCTAAATCACACCCAAGACACTGCAAACTGTGGCAGACAGTTTGAACTATATTTAAATCTATAAATGTAGAGAACATGTACCAGTTCTGCTTCAGTTGGGTAACAAACACTTTGAATATTGAACTTTTTTATTCTGTTAAATAAAATAGTTCATTAAATGTGTGTTACCTTCACAGGAAGAATCATCTATGATCAGTTGCATTAATTCTATTTGACCACCTTCTGCAGCATGATGCAGTGGGGTGGCATTTAATTCATCCACTTTGGTAAGTCCAGAACGATTCTTCTTAATGAAGCTTCGTAGCCTACAGGCACTTCCATCTGATATCACCTATTTTGGACACAAATATTCTCATTTTCTCATTCTTCTAATAGGCAAGTTGTTAGCAACACTATAATGTATTACTGTGGGCATGTCACAATAATTCCCTCCCAACTGTTTAGTTTCATGCAGAGGTACACAAATCCTGATCAGATTGAGTCAACAGTGAAACTCAGACTGATTTAATTGATTGCAAAGTTAGACCCAGATGAGAAACAGTGCAAAATTAACAAAAATGGAAATTATCTTGAATACATTATTTTGTCTTCTGTAGTGAGCTCAAGATCCTCCCTCCACCATGGAAAATCTCAAACAAGCAAATTCATCACTTACTGTTTTATACTCCCTCCGGCTGTGGCCACATCAAATGAATTCAACAGAGAGGAAAAATTAATAAACTTGATAAATTCCTTTTCCAGATCTTTCTACAGAGACTGATATTATGTCCTGCCTAGGCTTTCAAGTTCAGCCGTTGAGTTTCTGTGATGTTCCTTATGTCAGAGCAACCAATAGATTCTTTAATCTCAGCAATATCCTAAGAGCATCCCATGGGCTACTATCTCAGTCAGAAACAACCCAGCATCTTCACAGTGTAATATAATAAAACTCCCTCCAACAGCTCAGCCCACTGACACTTTGATACCTCCCTGGTACTGTGCTTTGCAATCAAAGTCCACTATGGAAACCCTGCTGATTCTTAATTTATTGTGTTCTCCAAATATTTTTGTCAGAGTGTTTCAAAACCCATACTTGAATATGAAGAAAAGAGATAGAAAAAAATGATTGCAGTAGAATGGGCAGGAATTTAAAAACAAGTTATTAAAAAATTAAAAGGGAACAAAAAAGAAAAACAGTACAACAAAATTGAGAGAAAAAAAAAAAGATAAAAATACATACCAAAAATAATCCAAACCTTCCCAAATATGTATAAGCAAGCAAAGGGTAAAAAACGGAAATCCCCTAAAATCACGGTTCTCTCCTCAGCTGCAAAAGAAAAGGAAAACTTTGCTCCCCTGGATCCCCTGAGCCACAAAGACTCAATAATTTTTGCTGTCATTAAGCAAATATACATTACAGGGCAGCCCATTCATACATTTACGCACGTGTTTAACTTCCTTCAGCTTAATAGTCCCATTGACCTCAGTGAGGTTATTCGTGTAAATAATGTTATAAATGTGGTTAAAGATTTAGAAGACTGGGGCCAAACACAGGGGTAGCATCTGCTTCAAAAGTGCAAATAGGAAAAGCTAATAGAAAACAGGTGATATCATTGTGGAAAGGGTATTTAAGATGACCCAACTGTCATAAAAATAAGAGGTCAATTACATACACAAATATCTATACATTTCATACACATAAAAAAGCTATTTAAGAAAACCTCATTACAGAGCCCAGTATCTTCTATTCATTCTAATATTCTAACTTAATTTTAATTGTCATGAATTTCCAATCTTTCTATTGATTTAGACCACATTTCACCACTCCTACATTGGAATTTTTTTGTCAATGCAAGACAAAATGTGGCTGAAATATGGCATGATGTTAATTTCTATCAACAAAAATAAGACTTTTCAGCCAATACTGCAGTGTTTCATTAACAAAATAGGAAAGGAAAAAGCCAGTTAGGTGTTCTCAGTACTTCTATTGATTCAAAACAGCAAAGCAAGCTATTTTAAACACCAGCAGCTCCTTTGCCCTTTGCCTGGACAGCTCTGTAGTGGTAGATCACCCACCAGAGTGACAAGCCGTGTTGTGCTGAAGAGGTGTTGCTCAAGACTACAGCTAGCACACAGAAAATAAGGCTGGAAATGACCTCAAGAGCTCTTTAAACTCATCCACATACTTTGCCATATTTGTTTAGCCTGCTCTTAAAAATCTCCAAAGTTACCCAAGTCATTCTGTACGCAACCTCTTCCTTTGCTTAATTATTCTTATCCTTAAAAAAGGCTTTTCATGTGTTTGGTCTATGTCTCCCCAGCTGCAATATAAATACATTACTTCTTATCCTATTCTTTATGGAACAGGGAAGATGTTATACCCTTTCCGGCAGCAATTTTGCATTTGTAGGTTGTGTTGCTGGT